TGACTTTGAAGACTCCCCAGGCCTCACCCTCCCTGGGGAGCAGAAGGGGATGGGATGGGGTTGGTGGGGGGAACAGGGGAGGATGGGAGGGGGCAGGAACTGGGACTGATATGTAAAACAAGCTTGTTTCTAATTAAATTAAAAAATTACATAAACGAAAAAGATCTGTTACATAGAAATGATAAACTTTTTTCTCTGAGAATAATTAAAATGATTCTAGGTGGATTTTCCCCTATTGAAAATCATCCATTAAATATTGATTACAAAAGTAAAAAATAATTGGCAGAATATAGAATTAATATTACCAAGAAGGGTAAGAAATAGGTGGTGAATTCACATAGTACAAGATTTGTCTGTTCATATGCTACCTTAAATATAAGAAAGCCTGTCAGTTGCATCATAGCAGAATTACAAAGGCACAATATTACTTGAAATGAAGAGTAATACCTGAAAGACACGTTGTAAACCTTATAGCCACCATTCTATAAAAGAAAGACAACACAGCTTTGACTGTCCCAACAATGGACATGAGATGGAAAAAAAGTAGATGCTTCAACAACCTTCATTGACCCTTAATTCCCAAGTTACAGAACGCTTCAACAGCCTTCATTGACCCTTAATTCCCAAGTTACAGAACGCTTCAACAGCCTTCATTGACCCTTAATTCTGAAGTTACAGAACAACCTTGAGTAGGGAAAGTGCAGGCAACATTGCTCTGAGGGGCTCACCCCAGGGTAAGTGGGCAGAGGTGGGCAAGACCATGGAATGTGCTCAGTGTCATCAAACCTCTCTCTCTCATGCTCTCTCGCTCTCTCTCTCTCTATCGCTCTCTCTCGCTCTCTTTCTCTGTGTGTGTGTGTGTGTGCGTGTTTCATTTTGTAAAGGGAACCTATAAATCGGAACACATTTATCCATCTAGTCACTGATATATATGTGTATACATACATACATACATATACATATATATATATCCTAGCTTTTAAATACTATTTCTATTTTTAAACAATTTTGGTTAATTTCAGCATGCCTCATCTATATGTAGCCTTCAAATGACTAGTTTCACAGCTCTAACTTAAATAATATAAAAACAAGAGGAGCAAATACCAGCTTGAAGACAGACATAGTGCGCTTTCCGTCCCCCAACCCCGACATTGCAGTCTGTCTTCCTTCGCCTTTGCTGCCCACATTTTTGGGTCAGGGTTAAATCCAACGCTGCGTCCCTGTAAGTTTCCCCGAGTCTCCTATGCCAGTCTTGCCCTTTCCGTTTCCTTAACAACCAAACCGTCTTCCATCTGGGTGAAGCATTCACGCCTTGTCTGCGAAGAAGACCCGTGGTCAGTCTCTGTCAGTCAAGTAACTGCTCCAGAAGCCCAAGCAGGGTTGGCCTGTGCATGGTCCCTGCACCTGTTTGCTGCGAGGCTAGAGATTCCTTTCCACACTCGCCCTGAGACAGTCGCCAACATGATCCTTGCCTAGTCCGGTACTCGTGACCTGCTTTACAGTTTGGAGTAACTCTACACAGCGCAGTGATTGATGTCGGCACCTTCCTGCTGTCACATCTTCTTTTCATACATGACATACATCCTGATCCCGTTCACATTATTCACCTCAATCCCATGTCCCTAGCAAAATTCTAAGGTACAAAAATGTTACTGATTGATGTTCCAGTGCCATGAGATTACACATTCATATACTGACACCTACACGAACACACACACACACACACACACACGTATGGTGACATGCTAACACAGCACAGTGTACATGGTATGCATGCTAATCAAATTCTCCCCCTTTGAGCTACATTTCTCCTCCCACTTCTACTATATGAATGTACATCTAAAGGAAATATAGCTCCCATTTTGGAAAGATATTTGTGTCCTCGTGTCCATTTGAAGGTTTTTCCTAATAGTCAAGATGTGCAAGGTAACATAAATGCGGATCATTGAAAGCATAAAGAAAATGTGTAAGTTACACGGGACATTCTCTAGCCTTAATGATGAAGAAAATTCTGCTGTTTGTAACAACATGGATGAAACTGGCAGAAACGCCAATGAGCCAGGCATTGAAGAACAAATGCCACATAGGCTCACTAATATGATGCCACCTGTCGTATTTTAGGTGACTGTACTACACCCATCTACATAAATAGAGCATAACCACCACCCAGCCTCTGCTGGACATGCAGCGGGTACGCTAGAGTTATTAGATTTCAGAGTTAATGCTTCTTTTGGTAAAACATCCATCCATCCATTACACAGCTTCTCTGAGAGCAACTATTTTTAGGCTTTCACATGGGAAATAAAATACAGAATGAGCCAATACTGGGGTTACGTGGAACTGGGGTGCCCTCTACTGTTTCCCAGACTTAAAGCTACAATGTTCAATTTCATTCAAAGGAAAGGAGAAGTGTTAATGAACAAATATAGGAACGTGGCCAGCAGACCATTGTTAACCAGGACAAACACTAAATTCAAAATTCCCCCAAACTTGTTGAAAGGACAGTACATAGACTTGTAGAATTGCTAGTTTCTGTATGACTTGGGCTTTTGGTCACCTCCAGATTCATTCAGCTCCATCTACATTGAATCATATAGCTAGCTGTGTTGAATACCACATTAAACACTGCTGGGGAAAATGTGACATCATTTCATCTTAGGAAGGGAGAAGGAACTTAGGCAACAAGATCACATGTAAGGGGTTTGGAGGTAGTGATGTGACTCTGGCTGACTTCAAATTCACAATTATGCTTCAGCCCCCCAACGTGTTGGGATTATAGGTGTGTGCCACATGCTAAGTAGTTTTAAGCAATGGGTATTATAATTTTCACTTTTATGTTTAAATGTGTTGTTAGGAAACTAATGGTCCAAAGCATGGGGATTTCAAATATAGTCTGTCAAAAGGAAAGGTTCATATATAGATGACACACAGTTCACCACGATGAAATGATTTTTGTAACTGTGACAAATACAGAAATCATCCCTTGTGCACATTTATTTTCCCAAAATAGTCCCAGCAACTTTGTGTTCAGCGTTCTATTCACCAATTATTCAAGTCTTCCTATGTGTATTATGTTGTTTAGTCAAGAGAATAACAGATGTCTTGGCATTTGTAAATCTAGAAGTAACATACAACAGGTTAAAAAACATAATAAGCTAGTATAAATCCAAATTAACTTTTTAATTCAATGATTTTAATTATTTGTGTTTTTGCATCACCATGAAAAATGTCAGAAGCAATTAAATTGCAAGTAAGAAAGGTTCATGTAGGCAGAGTCCTACAGATTTTGGTACCATTGCCTTTGAATCTGTGGCTAGTTAGTTCTCTGTGACTGGGGTTTAGGAAGATGCCCACCAGGAGCAAAAATCCGAGGACATTCAGATCTTAACTACAGAATTCTCAAGAGACTTCATGTTATTGACACATTTACAAAGACCTCAGCAAATGGAAAAATGTGTGTGTTCCATTTACCCATGTTAGAAACATCTTGTATTTCATAAAGAGCTTCTTGAGTCAGAGTTATTTCAGATTGTAGTTAACTGCATAGCCAAGGTAAGCACTATTATATATGTGCAAATATTTATATATATATAAATAATCTTTGAAATAATCTTACAGTTTTTTATTTTGCAAAAGCTAGAATTTCTGTAATGCATAAAAATATCATCGGATAGCTCAGATTTGCACAATACCATGCATGTCTAACACAACTGGAGAATGGGGAGAGTCTTATGCTCAGCACCACCATAGAAGGCTCCAGTAGAGATTGAGAGATTTGCTTCCTCTCCTTACCATGATTAGATGTCAATGAACAACTCTGTGCTCACAAATTCTGGAGCACAAAAGCACTTTTAGCTTTTTTTCTGTTTTTTATTTTTTTATTTTTTTAAAGACAGGGTCTGGTGCATCTCAGGATGGCCTAGAACTCTCAGTGTAGTGGAAAGTACCCTTAATCTTCTGCTCTGCCTCGTGGGTTCTGGGATTGCAGGGATGCCGGTCCTGTGGGGATTGCACAGTGCAGGTAATGGAAACCAGAGCTTCCTGCATGCAAAGTAAACACTAAGTCCTTGCCCACCTCCAGAGGAAATAGGGCATTGCTGTCAAGGAAGGAGCTGCCTCGGCATCCATCTTTTGTAGCATTTGAGAGGGCCTCCTTTTGCTCAGTGGTAATTAGTATGGGATGTCCTTGTCTCGCAGAAGTTATGTTACTGACATGGGACGGACAGCAATCACGTTAATCAACCAACCCCATGTATCTGCTGAGAAGGCAGTGTCTTCCTTCCAGGCCTCAGAGGGTCACCTGAAAGCCTTTCCCTGCCTGTGACCTACTTTTAGGCCTGTGACCCCATACCATAACCTGTCTCTGCCCTGAGCAAGGAACAAGTCTTCAGCAAAACCCTAAACATACATACCCTGCTGTTCTGAAAGGGTTTCATTATAAGCTGCAGCAATGAATTAATTACCCTCCATGAATTAAATGGAAAGGGTTCTCTTGCACCAGTTTCATTTCAAAAAGAATGGCTGGATAAACCCAAGGGTGCTTCTGCGGACTAAGGAACAACACAGGAGCTGGTCACCCTACCTGACATAAGCAGGCCTAGCATCTGCCTGGGTTACAGGCTCTGCTGCTGCTCGGCCCCCTCGGGCCTAAAAGGTGCCTAGTGGCTATTCCAGGAGGAACCAAATGTGCTTCGAGGGTCCACAAGAAACTTCAGCAGAAACATAGTTCATCCTCAAAGACAGCGGCCCCCGAGCCCTCCCCCAAGGGCTGAGTGGGGGCCCGGACTTTTAGTGAGAGTCTGGCGGCCTCTACCGGGCTCCTCGGCATAGGGACGTTCCTCAAACCCAGACACGACATGTGGCGCTCCGGAGAGGTGAGAGCGAGCGCGAATCCGCCGGGGGCGCTGGGGAATCTGCAGCGGGGCAGCGCGCGGCCTCGGGCGCGGCGTGGAGCAGAGCCGCAGGGCGGCGGCGGGAGCGCGGGGCTCCGGGTCCCCACGGGCGCCGAGCGCAGGGCAAGTTCGCGCCGGCAGCATGGGGCGGTGACACCGCACCGGCCTGCCGAGCCCGGCGCAGGGAGAGCGGGCGGCGGAGAAGCAGGATGAGCCCTCGCCGACGGCTCGCCAGCCGGGGCCCGCGCGCAGGGTAAGGAGCAGAGGCGACCCCGGTGGCCGGTGACCCGGCCTCGGGACCGGGAGGAGCGCAGAGCACCTGGGCGCTCGCGAGCCCGCCGCGCAAACTTTGCCCGGAGACTGCGGAGGCCACAGGGACGGAGGGCAGGGGACCTGGTGGCGTGGCTGGACGGGGCTCCGGGCGCAGCACCTCGAGATCTAGACACCAGGTAGCCGCTGCCTGCCGCGGCCGCCGAGCTCTCCCGCCTCTAAGGCCGCTCCCGCCCGGGAGCAGGGGCGCGCGGTGGGCGCGGGCCCCACTTGGTGTCGCGCGCCTGTCGCGCGGGCTGCTCGAGGCCGGCTCTGGCTGCGCCGCCACTGCACCGCGCGCAGCAGAGGAGGAAGGCGCTGCCTGGCGAGCGCTCAGCCGACCCTGTCGGGGACTAAGGAGGTCTGGAGGGCTAGGCGCGAGCCCGAGGGCCGGGCCACCGGAGGTGTCCGGCGGCGCTGCGGAGCGGCAGGTGAGGGGTGGCGGAGGCTGCGGCTCCGCAGTGCCACCCCATCGCCCACCTGCGCTGTGCGCCAGCCCTGGTGAGCTCGCACCGCGATCTGGGGGCCCCCGGGAGAGCAGACTCGCGGTGGGGATCGGGAAGTCGGGGGCTGAGGGGCGGCAGAAGGCACCGCCCGGGTTTCCCGCATGCGGCGCGTGCTCGCCGCCTAGACTGGCCAGGCTACCGGCGCGCGAGCCCCGGGATGCGCCCAGGCGACCACAGCATGTCAGCCTACTGTTCTTGACGGGAGTCTCAGAGGGCCTTCTCCTCCGAGGTGGAAGTACCTGTTGTGTGCTTCCCAGTTCTGGACTTTTGGGGGGTCTCCTTGCAAAAATGCTTCTTTTTGGAACTCTGGCTTGCTCGTGTACGTTGAGCACCCATTTGCGTTATGCGCATGTTGAGATATATGTGCCTTCTCTAAGGTTGTTGATGACCCAGGAGCAGTGCTTGCCTGGATCTCCACTGCACTAACCGGAGCCCAGATAAGAGCAGAGATATTTGCCAAGTGTCGTGATTCTAAGTCATATAGTCCTGGGGGCAAGATGCCAAGCCAGGAAGTCCGACCCTCACAGACAGGTCTACCATTGCGATCCTCTAGAAGACGTGTTTCTGACGTATGCCTTTCCCCCCCCCCCTTCCCACACACTTTCAGCACCTTGCAGAACAAGAAGCAGCTTGCTGGCTTTGAACGTGTGACAAATATTTCAGAAAGGTAAATCTATCTCACTTGTGGATTTGATAGATACAAAATGCAGTTGTCAAAATAACTTGGAGCCCTATGTTAATAACTGGGTCATCTATACCGTGCTAAAAAGTAAAATAATATTGGAGAGATGCGACGAGTCTATCGACTGTGCATCCTGTAAAAGGGGAATAAAGCTGTACTATCACCTTTTTACACCGTCTTGCTGCCCAGGGACAGTGGTTGAAACCGCTAACACAGTCCCCTGGTGACAAGGACCAGGTTCCAGGCTTTGTCAGCTTCTCTGTGGCAGTGGCATGCTTGGATTCGAGGTAGTGACAGGAACACCCAGGGTCATGTATTTCTCCCCCTCGTGTACTTCCAGCTTCAAGATCAAGTTGGAGGAAAGAACAGTTTTTCTTCCAAATTCGTCTGCTTCAACTATCATTCATACTGGGAATGGACAATGGAATGTTCTCTAGATTTATCATGACCAAAACCCTCCTCGTCTTCTGTATTTCCATGACCTTATCCAGTCACTTTGGGTAAGTTCTCCCCTGTGATTTTATGTTACGGTCTTGGAGGGCCTGTGCTCCTGTGAACCTACATAGTGTGGGGCAGGACAGCCCTTGCCTGCCATCTCTGCAGTTTGCAGTGACTATGTCCTGAGCCATGCTTTCTACTTGAACAAAGCTGTTCCTGATGCAGAGTCTCTGAAATGAGCTAGACAGAAGGGAATGGGTTTCTATAGGTGGGAGCGGAAGATGGTTGGGGGATAGCTGTTGCCTCCTACTCAGGTTGGAAGAGATGCAGAAGTTCATAGGCGTTAAGGATGCCTGCTGCTGTCACACAAGTGTGTAACAGACCGATTCCCTCCTTGCGTCCATTATGCTGCTGGTTTTACTTATCTAGCCAGGCTGGTGCTGTGCATGTGGCATGAAAAGGGGTCCAAAACAGTCTTGGCTGAGCCAAGCACACAGATAGGAAACTACATCTGGTTGGTTCACCCCCGAGGCTTTGGAAATGCCATTTCATTGACCTCTTTCACTTGGGCCTTTAGTGTCTCTGTAGCAATACTAGCCTTTCCCTGGCACACGAGTAATACCTAATGTTCCAGATGCAAGCCGTTGGGAGACGATCTGTGTTCCTCTTCTCTCCTGTGTCCCTCACTGCCCCAAATTGTCCTGGCTAATCAAACGATTACAAGATGAAGTACTCCCATTGGACAGCCTGTGCTGCTTGCTTTCTTGTTTACCAGTGCCCAGGCCCAAGGGTGCACTTGAGATAGTTAAAAAGACCACTGCAGCGCAATCACCTGTTTCCATTAGTATTGCCAGTGTGTGCAGGCTGCTTGGTGGGCGTTCATGGGTTCACTCTGCTGGAAAAAATTCCAAGGAGGATTCAGCCTTGTGACCCGGGGGAGATGTATTCCCAGCATCTGAGAAAGGCTTGTCAGTCTGTCCTCCTTCTCTCCATCCTCTCCCCTCCTCCCTTCCCTTTCTCCCCTCCTCTCCCCTCCTCCCTTCCCTTTCTCCCCTCCCCTCCTCCCTTCCCCCTCTGCCCTCTGGTTCCCTCCTCTCCTCTTTCCCCCCTCTCCTATCCTCCCCCTTGCCCCCTCCTCTTTCTCTTTTCTACTTTTTCTCCCCCCTCTCTCTCATCTCCGCCTCTGTCACCTCTGTCTAATTTTGTCTCTGCCTCTTTTCTCTAACCATCCCTTCTTGTCCTCCTTCTCTTTTCTTCTGCTCAAACTCGAAGGGTCAGAAGAGCAGAGAACGTCCAGAACTCAGTCAGGAAATGTCATTCCCCAGCAAGAACATCCTTACTTTCCTGGAAAAGGGTGTCTTTGAAGGTTGTTGCCCAATCCTGTGCATCTTCTGTCTGTTTATGAGTTACATGCATGCAGAGTACACTCTGGGGTCCATTTTCACAGGTCAAATGCGGAGTGACTTTGGTTCTTAAAATGAGTAGCACACACTCAGTCTAGCAGGTTGTACCTCTCATTGGTTACAAGACACAGCCCAAAAGATGTGGTGGTACCCATTTATTGGATGCTGTTCTTGCCTCTTTTTTTCCCTGAGGGAACATTCCCCCCCCCAGGCCCTTTGACTCCTCATCTACCACATGAGAGTTTTTCCTTTGCAAATCCTTTCTTAGATGCTATCAACTGTAGTGTCCCTGTTGCTTTTCTGAATGGAAGGTGTGTGAATGAAATCCCATGAACATTCACCATTGCAAATTAATACGTCGAAATAGTTTGCTTGTTTTCTGATATTCCATGTACAGTGAGTGATATTTTGGAAGTTATACCCATGCCGTGTTGTACTATCTTGAGAACACACAGCTTATAGGATTTGGCACAATAATTATGACTGTGATTCAGATAAGTCAGGAAGCTATCACTCTCTCTGCTAGACACAAGTCAGAAGTAGGAAGGTATGTGTGTGAGTTTGGCTAGTTATTTTATTTAATCCTGTGGTTTTCTAAGAATTAGATGGGCTTTTCAGTTCCCGGAAGGAATTGCTGATTAAGTTTGAGGCTACCCCTCAACCATTCAAAAACACTAACTGTGGGAGAAGTTATTAATTTTTAGATATGAAGGTTTTAATTGTCTTATAAGTCTGTCATAGAGTAATACCTACTCACTGCAGAAAATATGTGAGACGCAGCCAAGTTTGTTTTTAAAAAGGGTGTCCTAAATACCCACGTAGTCATCCTTCCCATTCCGGTTCCTTCCACTGCTTGCTTGTTCCTGTGCGTGTTTGTGTGCACCTGGGGTCATACTGTACATTCAGCTTTTCATTGGTTTCTGGTGCTAACCTTCCACTCTTACAAATTCTCTAGGCTGTGCGGTTTTAAAATGAGTAGATGTGGTAGCAATACATAAGTGGCCCAACATTAGCTGCTGCTTCCCAATGTGGAGACATCCATCTTATTTCTGATTTTCTAGTTATCAATGGTCTTGTACAGGACACTTTTGGTTTGTAAACTTCCCAGGTATTTGAACTTGTTTCTGTGAGAAGCTATCCCTGTGAGTGGACTTACACAGCAGGCGCTGAGTGCACTGTATGTGTCTTTAGATGGGGGAGTGGGGGCAGTACGTGGTGTACACGGAACATACCAGAAGACACAGCAAGTCCCCACTTACCCCTTCTCAGATGAAGTTCTGCTAACTTACAGATTAATTATATGTAGGAATAATTGTGTTGAAAGCCAGCCAGTTCCATAACATTTCCTTGACTTTGAATCTTGACAGTATAATAACTACTACAAGGCAAAGCACCCATTTTTCCAGTGTTTTAAGGCAATCCTAGGAGCTGCCTTATGAGCTCAGTGTCATTAGTCCATCCTGCACCTGGCAAGGTGGGATGGCTGAGTATCTATCTCACTCGGACCTCTGCATAAGAACACCTGCTGGGGTCCTCACCCTGCACACCTGCTGGGGTCCTCACCCTGCAACCTGCTGGGGTCCTCACCCTGGACAACTGCTGGGGTCCTCACTCTGCACACCTGCTGTGGTCCTCACACTGCACACCTGCTGGGGTCCTCACCCTGCAACCTGCTGGGGTCCTCACCCTGCACACCTGCTGTGGTCCTCACCCTGGACAACTGCTGGGGTCCTCACTCTGCACACCTGCTGTGGTCCTCACACTGCATACTTAGTTGGGGTCTGCACACCTGCTGGGGTCTGCACACCTGCTGGGGTCCTCACTCTGCACAGCTTATGCTGCACTCTTCTGTGCCATTCTGCTCACTTTTTACCCTGTGCTCTTTTCACTGACTTCTGATTTTGCAATATGTCAAACCAGTGTAGACGCTGGGGATTATGAGCTTGGACTATGTCGTCCACTCTGGGCTTTGGAAAGAGTTTTGTGCACTCTGACACCGGGGAGTGGAACAGTTTGAAGGACTTCTCTTTCCCCTCCCTCCATCAAAGGAGTGATTTCTGCGATTACGATTCAAAGGAAGTTGAAAGGGGGAGGTTACAAGGTTGTGACTGGGATCAGAGAATGAATTACTGATGCCCCTACATATGCCCAGGAGACAGAGCTGGCAGGGGTAAGGGGGGAATGGGGAAAGAGGCAACATAAATGGTTCTGTGCAGGTACAAGCTGGCATACTGTATTTGTATGGATCTGTGCATTCAGCAGCAGAAGATACATTTGTGAGGAGGACCGTGTATTTGGTGATTACATAAGATAGTTAATGTGAAGTTGCTTTGAAAATATCATGAGAATTATTTGTCTTTCTGCACATCTTCTGCTAAATTTAGCGGCTCATTTTCAATAGTTTTGTGATTGTACTATCGGCTGTGAATTATAGAACAGGGCATGAGTCAAGCACACTTCTGAACCAAGGCCCTATAGTCAGCCACTGCCATGGCCCAGTCAGATGCATGAGTTATTTAAGCCGTTAACAATTATTTCAATGAAACTAGTAATCTAAATTACACAGTGTAGAAAAATTAGCACTGAAACAGCATGGGAATCAAAATGCTGCCAAATACATAACGTAAAGTTTAAACTGGAATTAATGTATCACCGTTTACAAGCCATACTTTGTCAGTCTTGAGAAACGAGTGACGATCGCAAGGCCCATTTGAGGGTTATCAGTTCAAGAAGGTGATGTCAGATTCCATTCATTTACTGATGTTAACATAGAGATCTGTTTATAGGAAGGGGAAATACATTTCTTTTTAACATGGGAGCTGCAACTCAAGTAGATGCTGGAAGACAATATCTTTAACTGACAATGAACACCAGGCTCTTATAAACACGAAGAAAAAAGATCTTTCTTTCTCTGTGTACACGTGCAGCAGCCTGGCCTTTGGTCCCACAAAGAGGGACCTTTTCATCCTCCCCACTTTATGCAAGGGTAGCTGTCCCTCCTCACTGCAGCAGTAAGCATGTCTGAATCCTGCCTGCAAGCTGGAACTTTCCTTGCATGCCCTCCGATAACAGAATCCTCCTTCTCCAGAGTTCAGGCTCCCGAGGCTTGGGACACACGGTCAGTGTAATGGTTGGAAAACACTGCAGCAGGCCCGCCGAAGCAGTGAGCTGGGGTAGGACTGAACGGATGGCTCCGTGTGGAGGCTGCTGCCGAGACGGACAGGCAGAGATGAGGAAGGTGATCTTAAACAGAGCAGAGTGTCCCATCCCTCAGCGGTGATGGGGTGATGGAGCTGTCTCTAACCTTGCTTTAAAAGGCAGGAGGACTTTAAGCAGGCTGGGCACCAGTGCTCAGTGAGCAGGGCTCAGAGAGATGGCACCCAGCACAGCTCAGCTAAGTAGGCTGTCCCTAAGCTCCAGGATGAGTCACTAGCTGGGTTCAAGGAAGGGAGAGGTTGGGGGTATTTGAATTTTTTTTTATGAAGAGTCAGGGATATAAAACACACGTTTTAATTGGTGTGGAATTCAAAGGAGAGCATCAGAATCGAAAGCAATAAAGAAATCTTATCTCACTCTCATAGCAGCAGGGTTTACCAATAGGCATATGATGGGTGCACTGCACAGATTTTCAGAATGCTGCTGTTAAAACATGCTGCTTA